CAAGGTCTATGACTATTTTTTCTTATCCAGGCTGGTAGTTTTCCACTAAGGCTGCCTGTTTCCAATATCTACAGCTATCTGTTCTAGGGTCAGTGTTTTCCCACAGAGACCAAGACTGTTTTTGTAGGCATGTATAGCTGACTTAGGCCTATGGCTGATTTAGGCCTTCAGTGTATAAGAAAGGTTGCTCCCGACAGGGGCTATTATTTTTATTTTTATAATGATTATTAATAATGGCAAGATTAATCAATGCTGACTATATGCATATGGGTATGGGGACATCCACTGGGGGGAAGGATAATGGGCAGCCTGTGAACAGCCACATCACTAACAAAAAGTGACTCTCCCTCAGCAGCCATCATCTGTCTGGACTTCCTCCAGCTGTGTTGGCCTTAGCATCCTTTTCTCCTCTCTATACTGGAGTTTGAACTGGCTTAATCTTGTGCAGGTATTGTGTAGGTAACAATAGTTAACATGAGTTGATGTGTGCAGCCACGTCATGTCCAGAAGACACACTCTCCTCTGAGAGATCAAGATCAAAGAGACCATGAACACTAAAATGAGGAACAAGAAAGGACACAGTTTATTCAGGAAGCAGAGTGCAAAATCTTTATTCTTAGCCATATTATGCTCTTCTAACTTTGATTGCAAAATGCATAAGACTCCACTCTATAATGTTTGCTTTTCTTCTTACTGGAGTAAGATCCACTTTTTGTATATTACTAAACTGAGCCTTTCCCAGAAGATAATTGTGAAAAACATGACGTCTGGCCGTGGAAATACCTGCTAGAATGTGAAGGTGGTATTCTGCCAGAACTCTGCAAACATCCTCTTGTTTTCAAGGGACATCTGGCAAGTGCATTGTCCTGGCATGATGTCAGCTCAGCAAACTTTCATTTCTTCTTTTTGTTTAGTCATATTTTGTAACATAATGTTGAATACAGCTGCTCAATGTTGAGTTATTTCTTGATATTAGAGGGATATTTTTCCAGACTATTAAAAATAATGAGAACAAGCAAACAATCAATATAAACATTACAGCATATAAGGAGCTTGCAATATGAAGTTTATTAAATGGATTTAATTTCCCCAGCCATCAGCAACGCCCTCCAATAATGTATCACATCCATCAGCAACACCCTCCAATAATGTATCACACCCATCAGCAACACCCTCCAATAATGTATCACATCCATCAGCAACACC